GGAAATATTTAAAAGATATATATCATGTATACAAATGTCTGATGGATCAAAACCAGAGACAATTTGGCTGGAAGCCACACAAAATTTGGATACCAGAGGCATGATACATAGGCTATAAAATCTGTGAGTTAAAAGTGTTTTTGTTTTGTTTTCTTTTGTTTTTAATTGCAAGAAAGGCCATAAAGTTCAAAAATATGGGCCAGACAAAACAATGGTGGAGAGGAACTTGGAATCAATCCACCGACTGAAAGTGGTTCAGCAAGGGATAGAGAGTTTCCCTTCAGCCATGTTAAATGTTAGTAAGTATTAGTCCAGAACACTAGCCTGCCTTATAGGGATGAACATAAAGGAAAAGAGTTTCTACAGGAAGACATAGCATGGCAATATGAAATACAAAGCAAGCAGTAGTCTTGACTCAAAAATCAGAAAATTGGTATTAAAAACTTGCAATCAGAGAATTCTAATTCCTGAATCATTAAAGGGAGCAATTTAAAGTCTAGGCTTCAAGGAAAGAAGAACTAGGAATAACAGAGATCGATGAGGTCAGATCCAAAGGAAATTGGATGAAATGGTGTCCAGATATTAAGGGCTAAATAAATATCAGGCAACAAAATGTTCTTAAGACCAGATAGATGCCACTTACTTAAAAAATGAGATAATATCAAAGTTGTATAAACTCAAATGTAGCTTGACTTTAAACCTTGCAGCACCAGTAAGAAGGTATCTGAATTCTCCCAAATTGCAGGAGTGGCTGGCTAGCCAATGAGGAATATACATATGTCCTTTCTATATTAAAGCATCTTTCCCTTTAAGAAAACCACTATAAGCCATTTCACATGGTTTTGTCATCTCCACAATCAGTGATAGTTATATGATTCAGAGCTAGAAAATACTAGCTATCTTCCCCAATAAAAGAGATTTGTCCTGAGGGTGAGGCTGTGTTCTAATAGGGACCAGCCAATGTCTCTCACTGGGGAAGATTTTCAGATATAAGAAATAGAACGTTCTTTCTGTTGGAATTGCTATGCTGTGAGAATGTCACTGAGTTTAACTAGGTCACTTTCCACATAGTCTTTCTGCAAGATAAAATCAAGCAGAGCCAATACATATGAAAGAGAAAATCCTAGGGAGTTTCTCTTAAAACTAGATTTTCTATGATATGAGTGATGCTTTAAAATGTTATAGGTTAGGTGGCTTTAAAAAGAGAAACAATTCTCACAACTCTGGAAGCTAGAAACTCAGTACAGCACCATTCTATTAACTAATCTATAAAAATGACACCAGGTGATAGTATTTTTTTCTCAACAGAATTTTTTCAATAACTTTTACTTATCCAACCAAGGTGTTAGGAAATAATCAAGAAAGACTCTTCCTTTAGAGAACTTCTGTTCTCTCTATTACACCTTCCCTTATACAGCCACATGCCTATGTAGTGCTGGAGGAATTTCCATTTCTCAAACCTTGTTCCATTCATTAAAACTTGGCAAAACCAGAATCTGGGAAGATGGCAGATCAATAAGCAGCAAAACAAAGAGCTTCTCTGAGAGCTCCAGATGTTGGAAATAGCAATCTGGAGAAGACCAGATGGAAGCAGATGGATCCTCTCCACCCAGGAAGAAACTAAAGGGAAAAAAAGAAGAAAGAAAGAAAGAAAGAAAGAAAGAAAGAAAGAAAGAAAGAAAGAAAGAAAGAAACAAACAAAGAGAGAGAGAGAAAGAAAGAAAGAAAGAGAGAGAGAGAGAGAGAGAGAGAGAGAGAGAGAGAGAGAAAGAAAGAAAGAAAAACAAAGACAGAAGGCTGTAGTCAGATGCACTTTCACAGGAGCTGGTCCCACTATGTATGAAATGCCCCTGTAATCCAAAGATGTGTTGTCGTGGTGAAGTTGGGGATTGGTTAGCCTGAGGGCTTTGGCAGGAGGACACAGTCATGGAGGGGAGAAGCAGAGCAGAGAACAGCACTGGCTCAGAGATCTGCTCTGGTTCACAGTGAGTGTGGGAAACTCAGTCCTCCCTTGAGAGTGGATTATTGGCTGGGCAACATTTTGGAGTCAGGCAGGATAAGCCTGGAACCAGAACTGCAGCAGCTCTAGTCAGCCACTCCTAGTGCAGAGCAGATTGGTGAGAAATGCTTGGATTGAGACATGCCCCTGTGAGCAATCCAATAGCCAAGGACAGGGTTTCCCTGAAGCTACTCCCAACCAGCTCCATCTGTGTGGAGACTCCCAATAATATGGTGAAGACTCCCAGTGGTTGACCAGCTCAAAAGGGAGGGGCCAGCCTGCCCTACCCTTGCTTGTACATCAGTGGTCAACAGCAGACTGGGAATGGCAGCAATCCCTAGCCAGCATGCTTCAGAGTAACTAACCAATACAGGAAGTGATAGGGACCCCTCTATCCACTTGTCTGGAAGAAACCAGAAACATGAGAAGAGGAAGAAACAAAAGAAAGTCTCTAGCCTCTAAGCCAAACAGTACTGGCCCATGAGAGGCAAACACAGAAGAGATCAGGGGTTGCACAACTGCAATTTCCAAATAAGCATCATCTGGCATAAAGAAATATCTTTGTGACATTATAAAATAACTCAAAACAGAAATACTAATACAAGTAAAGGAAGATATAAGAAAAAATAATAAAAGAAATGCTAAGCACCTCTCAGGAAGACACAGATGGAAGAATGGAGGAGCAGAGACAAAGGAGGGAAACCTTCTATGAAGAATATAAAAAAAATCTGGAACAAATGAAACAGATTCAAAGAGATTACCAGGAAATTAAAAACTCCATTGAAAGCTTGCAAAACTTCTTGAAAGAAACTAAAGATAGGCTATCAAACCTCAGACAGATTTGCAATGTATGATCATGAAAGGAAAGATCTCTTAAAAAAAAAAAAAAAAACAAGGAAACAGGAAGTAACAATACAAAAGCTAGAAGATGACAAGAGGATCTTTAACTTAAGAATAAAAATGTGAGTGAAGAAACAGGGGTTAACACAAATGAAATACAAAGGCTATTTACAGATATAATTAAAGAAAACATACCAAACATAAGAAAAGGAAATGATATTCAGATATATGAGGCATAGAGAACTCCAGCCAGCTATAACCAAAATAGATCTACACCCAGACATATAATAATCAAAATTCCAGAAATTCAACACAAGAACAGAATATTAAAAGCTGTCAGAGAAAAGGAACAGGTCACCAATAAAGGAAAACCCATCAAAATCATGATCGACTTCTTGACACAAATTATCAAATCAAGAAGAGCTTGGAGCAAAGTATTCTAAGCCCTGAAAGACAATAACCTCCAACCCAGATTGATGTACCCTGAAAAACCATCTCTCAAAATTAATGGAGAAACAAGATACTTCCATGACAAAGAGGAACTGGTGGAGTTTGTGACCCCAATCCAACCCTACAAAAAAATTCTGAAGGACATTCCAGAGAGAAAGAAAAAAAAAGACCATGATTTCAGGAACAGTGGTAGAGGGGGCTCAATGAATGGGGCAGACAGTGGAATAAAGGGGAAAAGTAGACAACAAACAGTAGAAAAATAGCATAACAGAGATGAGGCAGAGAAGGTTGGTCATAATCACTTAACATAGGTAGCCTCAGTACACTAATAAAAAGAAACACAGGCAGAGTGGATCAGGAGTTAGGGTCCATCAAGATGTTCTATGTAAAAAGTATAATTAACCTGAAAGAGGTTTTATGGACTGAAAGCCAAAGATGAGAAAATAATGTTCTATGTGATAGGGAATCAGAAAAAGGGAGGGTAGCTTGCCCATCAGCTGCAGATTGGTTGGAAATACATAACGCTTTTATATAATGGATAACTACTCAGCTATAAAGAAGGAAAACCTTGAGGATCTTGTACATAAATGGATACAATTTGAGAGATCAAGCTCAGGAGTAGAAAGATTCAGAATCACTTAGGTAAATAGTGGGTTGCCTCCCTAATCTAAAAACAAAAGGAGCTAGTGTGATACAAAATGTACAATGTGCCCTGTGAAAGTAAAAGGAGAGGAATTGTCTAAGTAGAGAAGGCAGGGGACATTGTTAATCTTGTATCATGATTTGAAACCCACATTGTTTTCATCACTCTGTTTAGTTTGGTTATATTCTGTTCCAGGTTGTCTACTTGTACTAGATTTAAGGGCATAGACAGCTATTCCAAAGACAGCAAGATATACTATGGTTTTTAATTTCCTATTAACATAATCTGAAGTCCTGTATTGCTTTCACTGTGTTATTTTGACTAATTTTATTTGAATCTGTTTTGTTTAATCGCTGTCTTGTCTTGACTGAGTTTATTCAAATCTATTTTGTTTAATAGTATCAAATCTGACAGTATAGGCAACTACTTTGGAGACAATAAGATTCACTACGATTCTCATTCTGGTTTGATTGTAACCCTTTTCAAAGTACTATAATGTCTCCAATGTTTTGTTTTTATTGATTTTGTTCCATACTTCTATGTTCAATTTTACTGTGAGGGATGATATGGGCGATTCTATTGGAGATAACAAGAGATATCATAGTAACCATTTAGGTCACCTTGTATTGTTATTTTACATCATGTACTATGTCCACCCATTTGTTCTGAATGACCCCATTTTGGTTTTTTCTCATTTGGTTTTATTCTTTTTTAAAAAAACTTGGCAAAAACAAGAGTACTACAGACTAATGAGAGTAAAAATTGTTAACTTGTATATTATGTAAAATACACAGCAATAATTCATACCTGAAAAATGTAAGCTCTGCTGGGGTACCCAGTTTCCTTTATGCTTCTGGAACAAAGAACATGCTTCAAAAATGCAGAACACTGTATGCACTGATTTTACATTCATAGAATACAAAGGCCTTCGTTGTGGTAATTATGCCTTTTTCCAGTGGTATGTTAGTCTTCAAACAAAATACCTGATTTCTTATCTGAAAATTCCAGATTTCATCATAGATTTTCCTGATGTCTGATAGTCAAACAAATGAGGCAAAGCTGAGAGTATGAGATTTAAAGGCAGAGTGAATTTTATTTTCTGTTTCCAATACTGGATACTCTGGAAGGAAAATTATATTTCTCCAAATGATCTTTCTTACAACAAAAGAAATTTACACTGGAAAAGAATATGCTGTATCCTCTTATGTGAGAGTTTGCAGACACAAAAAAGAAAAGAAATGAATGGAGCCAATTTCACATATTGAGTAAATATGTGAAGAAAATTTCACATATTGAGTAAACTAAGGTAGTTTCTACCACTTTTGATGAAATCTATATTGTAAGTGTGTCCTGCACATAGATGAGGAAAGAATTAAAAATTTCTGTGTCCATGGTGACATGATTATCTCTGTAGCTTTCTCCTAATTTATAATACATAAATTCACTGTAAATGAAAAAATGTATGACATTACAAATGTGCAAGCCCACAGAGCTTTGGATCATGAAGAACTTAAATCTAAAATATGCACATTTTAAAAATCATTTAGACGTCAGAGTGCCAAAAAGGACTGAAGATTGTAACAATAGAATCTACCTGTATAACAAATGTGTGAGAAAGTCTCTTAATGAGGCAGGATGCTTAACTAAGAAACTCTGCAGGTGAATGGATTCAGTAAGACTAAAAGCAACAATAGCTGCTCATTAAATACTATATTAGTTGATAGCATTGTTCCCTATGGGATATCAGGATATTGGCTAATGTTCATGACACCATGTAACTGGAATCAAACAATTAAGTAAATTGGAGGGTGGATATTGAGAACAAGATCTCTCATTGTTGCACTAAAAATGTACAAATAAGAAAAGAAAGGATATTAGATTGATCCTTGTGTTAATAACTATAATTGGTGTTATTAATATACAAAAGATCACATATAAAAATATTTAGACATAGGTACACATGCCTACATTAATATGCAAAGATATATTCATTTGCTATGGCATCTGTGACAATCTAAAAGAAAAACAAAACAAAAAACACCACCCATGAGTCAAATTACCATCCAGACCTTGGTTTTAATAACATTTTTCAATAAAAGAGACAAAGGTTTCATGGAAAATGATTCTAGGCCTAGAGCAGGAAATGTACAAGATGAGCCTAGATCATCTTGTTGTGCCAGAAAGTAAAACAGTGTTTAAGAGATATACATACACATTGATGGTGGTATGTCAATGGTGCACAGGAGCCAGGTAAATGAACCACCAAGGCAAAGCTAAACCAACCTGAGCATAAAGCACTCCTGGATTAAAATCCAAAAATACAACATAAATTTCTATGAGTCCACAATGCTATAATTAGAATCATTTATTGATCATGATTTATTATTATGCATTATAATTGTTATAAATTATAATTGTTTATTGATGATGAGTAGGAAAGAGGAAACAAATCTCCCAAGCAAAAGAATTCAAAATAGTTTACACAGATTCTCTGCCCTTAAGAAAGCAGGGGGGAAAAAAAGAAAGTGGGATCTCTGGATTAAAACATCATTTGATAAATGCAAATCATCAAACACAACATATTGTATTACAAAATGGAGCATAAAAGTCATGATAATTTTCATAGAGAAAAGAATTCCATAAGATTCAGTACTCTTCATAATAAAAATTCTCAATGGATTAGTGAGTGTACTTCAGCAAAATAAAGGCCATATATAACACAACCATAGCTAACATAAGCAAAAGTGAAAAGCTGAAAGTTTATCCTCTAAAATCAGAGACAAGATGGGGATGCTGTCTTAGTCATTTTCTTGTCACTGGGACAAAGTACCTGAAAACCACAAATTAAAAGAAGAAAGATTTATTTTAGCTCACAGTTTCAGAGGTCTCAGTTCATGCTTGGTCCACTGGCACTCAGGAAAAACAGTATGGTAGAAGAGCTGGTGGCAGTCAGGCAACAATAGCAATTAGTAGGTGGGGAGGGAGATATACCCTTCCAGATCACACTCCCAGTGAGCCACCTCTAACAAGGCCCCATCTAATAGCACATTTAACACATTCAGAGTAGCACTCCTATGGTCCCATCACCATCCAAACACATGAGGCTCTGGAGTACACCCAAAATCAAACCACAACAGATAGCCAAGTCATCATTTCTTTTCAACAAAGTACTGGAAGTCCTAGCCAAAGAAATTAGGCAAGAAAATAAATAAAGAAACTCTAATAAGAAAAAAAAAGTAAAATGTGTCTCTGCACTAAAGACTCAACCAAAAAAAGGGGGGCACTCTTGGAACCAACAAATTTAATAAAGTCACAGAATAAAAAATCATCATAAAAATCAGTAGCATTTGGATGAGTCATGTGCAGGCTGACTGGGGGAGAGCCAGACACCTTACTTACTTAGATTTAAATTTAACCAGAAAAGATCTATATGCTGAAAAGCAGTATACAGAAAATTATAGTGAATTTAATTCTATAAATTAAAAAAATGTACTGAATTTTACATGGCATCCCAAAACAAATCCTGCATAACCAAAACAATCTTGAGATAAAAGAACAAATCTGGAGAGATCAGCACACACCCTGATTTCAAAACACAGCATAAAGCAATCATAATAAAAATATACTACTAATCGACAAAAAACAGACACACCAACCAATGACAGGATAGGAGGCACAGAAACAATCTCATGCCTTTCTCTTCAACTGATTGTGACAGAAGTACCAAAAACACACAATGAGAAAAGATCAATCTCCTCAATAAGTAGTGTTGGGAAAACTGGATACTGGATATCCACATACTGAAGAATGAAATCCAATACTTCTCTCAAAGTATATAGAAAAAACATAATGAATTAAGAAATCATAACATTTGAGACTGTAGAACTACTAGAAGAAAACATAAAAGCTCCATGTCATGAACTAGGCAATGATTATTTTGGGCTGTGATACTGAAAGCATAGGCAACAAAAGAAAAAATACACAAATGGAGTTGCATGAAACTTAAAAGCTTCTGTACAGCAAAGTGAATCATTAATAAAGTGAAGGAACAACCCACACAGTGGTATGGTAGAAGTCATCTGTAAATTAGATACCTGATAAAAAGTTAATATCCAAAATATTCAACGAATTCAAACAATTCACTAAAAAAAAAGAAAGAAAAAAGACAAGAAACGTAAACAAGGCATAAATTTATTTCCCCCAAAATGCATACAAGTTGCCTGAAGGTACATAAATAATGCTTAGTATCAGTAATTATTATGAAAATACAAATTAAAACCAAAATGAGATAGTATCTCATACCTGTCAAGAATGGCTTTATCAAAAAGTAAAAAAACAGACCATCTCTACAGACCACTTTGCAGGACCAGGAAACTCCAGCCAGAGGCATGCACCAGATGGCGTAGACCCAGGCCCCTCCTGTGACTCCAGCCATCTCCATGGACCACCTCGCAGAACTGGGAAACTCCAGCCAAAAGCATGCATGAGACCACCCTAGACCCGGGCCCTTCCTGTGACTCTCACCTTCTCCACAGATGACCTTGTGGGATCAGGGAACTCCAGCTGGAGATTCCACCCTTTCTCCCAGAACCTTGGACTACAGCAGATTAACTATGCTAGCTTGAGGGAATATTCCATGCCTGCATCACCCAAATGGAAGATCTCAGCAGGCTCCAGGCAGTGTGGTGAGTATGCCCCTGAAATAGAGGTGTACAGAGAGTAAATAGGCCAGTAGTAAAGCTACCTCCAATTAACTGTAAGACCTTGGTGAGTCTGACAAGAGTGTGGGTGATGGGGCTGGGGATTTAGCACAGGGCATAAGTGCCTGCCTTGCAAGAAGGCAGTCGTGAGTTCGATCCCTGGTACCACTAAAAATGAAAAAGACCAAAAAAAAAAAAAAAAAAAAGAGTGTGGTTGACTCCTTCCTATACACAGGCAGAATTTGTATGCCAAAAGGACTCCCCAACTTGGAGAAAATCAAAATGGCTAATGAGACACACAGGCACACAATAGGGACTCAGGAGGGCCCCAGCCAACACAAATACTATAGACAGGGAGATTTGGTGACCTGGAATAACCTGAAGATAAAGTAATAGCAGGAATTAAAAGTTGACCTACATCAATACTACTAGGCTTAACAGCCCATAAAAATATAGAACTCACCCAACAGGCCCTGCAGTGGGAAGTCAGGTGATTGGTCCACCTATTCATTGTGAGACTCAGAAATTGGACGAACATCAACCTTACATTAGGACCCCAAGATACACACTACCAACAGTTGACACTAGTGGGATTGAAGGACCAAATATTAATTCCAAAGGGGAAAATGGGAAAACAAAAAAGCAAAATGCACCCATGTTCACAGCAGCACAATTTGTAATAGCTAAATCTTGGAAACAAGATGCTCATCAACCACAGAGTGGATGAAAAAGATGTGATATTTTTATACACTAGAATATTACTCAGCTATAAAAAAGGATGATTTTGAGGCCCTCTTAGGCAAATAGAGACAACTTGAGACTATCCTCATTAGTGAAATAAATAAGAATTATATTTATAAATATCACATTGTGTCTCTAGTGTAAAAAGTAATAAGAAATGTAGGAGTAACATAAACCTAAATGTGTAATTGCTATTGTAAAAAAAAAGTAGAAAAGAAAGTGCTCTAAAGGCTATAACCACATGTATGTTTAAGTGTGTAGAATTGATAACCATATTACTAAGTTTTTGTTGGATTGTTGAACAGAACTGTTTGCAGTCTCACTGTTTGAATGTCCTCTTTGTATGATTTACTTTTGTAACTTGAACAGCTATTTGTAAGAGGACAATATGTAATTTATCAACTAGTGAGTTCTTATTGTTTATTTTTTTGAGATTATGTATTATTTCTATGCTTTTTCTTTCTTTTTTTTAAATAAAAAACAAGTGTTAGCAAGGATTTGGAGAAAAGAAAATTCTTATACATTGTTGGCAATACACAAATTAGTACAGCCAATATAGAACACTGTGAAATTTTTAAAAATTAAAAACCCAAAATTATAGATCTACAATGTGATCTAATAATCTCATCACTGGACTTGGAAGGAATTGAAACTAATATGCAGAAGAGAAATACATATGCTCATATTTATTGCTGCATGATTTACTAAAGCTAAGATATAGAACTAAACTATGTCCTTTAAATAATAAATGAATTAATAAAATATGATATTTTTCACACTGAAAAATTTATTGTCTTTTTAAAAAAAGATGGAACATATTTCATTTGCAACAGCATGGAAAAATATATTATGTGAAAAAAGCTACACATTATACTTCATACTCTCATTTAGTTATGACATCTAAATAAGTTGAACTTCTCAAAGTAGAGAACAGCATTCTAAGGAAGGGTTATCTAGTTAATTTTCTTGCATTTCTCAGACAGAACACCTAACACTCAAGGTTAAAGGGGGATAAGTTTATTTAGCTCACAGTTTGTAGAGGTTTCAGGTGATAATTACCTGACTCCAAGGCAGAGTGGCACATAGCAGGTGCCAATATTTATGGTGCAGAAGACAGCAAAAGAAGCAAGTGAGGAGAGAGAGATAGGACTCTTTAAGTCCCTTATATCACATGCAGCCTACCAACCCTAGGGAAGGTATAGCACTCACACCCATTTTCCCAGCATTGAACCATGAATCAGTCACAAACTAGATTCAGCCACCTCTGAAAAACCCATCCTCCATGAGTGCATGAGGCCTTGGGGGATATCCAGACACAAATCATAACATTCTGCCTCTGGCCTCAAAAAGACAAATGTGCATTCCTTTATTTAAAAAAAAAACATTATTTATTCCAGCTCTAAGAGTTGCTGAAATCCTAACAGTTTCATCACTGCTGAAAAGTTCAAGCCCCAAGGTTCTTTTGAGATTTAAGACAAACTCTTTTACCTGTAAGCCCCTGTACAAATGAAACAAAAGTTAAATATTTCCAACATTAAAATGGCACAAGATAGACATTTCCATTCCAAAAGTTACAAACAGGGAGGTACAAAAGAATAGGACCAAAGCAAGTCCAAGATCCAGCATAGAAAACATGTATTTCCATGTGCAGCATCGGACAATCTGTGGTAAGATGAACTCCAAAGGATTGAGAGTGGCTCTGCCCCTGTAACAGTTCTGGTGGTGATAGTTCCCATGGCTATTGTCTTGGGATAGTTTTGTTCCTTCGTTGCAGTTTTCCTCAAATGACCCATGTTCCTGGCTTCTCCAGACTTCTGACGTCCCCACTGCAAATTTTAGCTTTATAAAACTTCATACACTGCCCTCTTCTGCTGGACCTTCCATGGCCTTCTTAAACCTGAGTAGAGGTCTTCCTGAACTCACAGCTCTTCCATCCTGCATCACTTAAAATCAGTGTCATGTGGATAATGCCAAGACCCGATGCCAGCTGGAGCAGTAGCCTGGTTTTCTTCTTTTTTTGGCTATAGGGGTCAAGTGCCTGTACCATTGGGCACTCTGAATCCAATTCTGAGGGGCATACTCTCTATTTTACTATCATTCTGGGACATAATGCCCTGTGGATTTCTTCTTGAAAATCTTTCACTTTTACAATTTTGAGGCTGCACAGGGTTGAGTCCTACAGCTTCTTGTGATGCCCTCAGGCCAACTTTTCTATTTTCCTGTTCCTTCTCAGCAATCAAGATCTCCTCTGTTCTATTTTTAGAGTCCACAGCTTTACTGGACCTTCATTTATGGCCTAATTCACAGCATTTAAAATCACTCTTCTTGGCTCTTTGCTTTTGATTTTCCACTTAGACCTCGCTAAAAGCCCCCAACAGTAGCCATGTCACAGCCTCAACATTTGACACACTTGAAATTTCCTCTATAATCTTAATCAGTTCATTGCCCTTAATCTCAGTCTCAGATATTCTCTAGACATGAGCAAAATGCTTCTGTCATTAATAATCCTTAAAAAGAATTTTAATGTACCTTTCCATTCTTAACCAAACAGGTAATGCAAAAATCTACCATTTCTTTCAACTGGACACCACACAAATCTCAAATTTTTTCACTTATTATCTTGAAGATTCCTACATTATAAATTTTCTTTTTCTCACTATATAACATTCCATTTCATAAATGTTTAATTATTTATTATGCTTCATTGGTAAACATTTCAGTTCTTTCCAGATTTTAGCTGTTAAAAATAATGATTGCAATAAATAGTTTTTATTTCTTTGTATATTCTACTAGTGGTGTTTGCAATAGAATTGAAACAAAATTGCTAGATCAAAGGAAAATTCATGCATAATATTGTTAGGTTATTATCAATTTCCTTCCAGAATAGTTCTACTATCTTCATCCTCATTAGAAATATATTGAGATGACTTATCCCCAGAACGCAACCAAAAGAATATGTTATCAAACTAAGAATAATTTTTCCCAAAGTGAGAGTTAAAATAGTATCAATAAACATTTGTAATTTTTATTTTTTGTGGATTTCACATCATGACACTACGGGACCAGCACTAGGTACTGTAGTGTCTCTTTTTCTTCAAAGTATTTGTTCATTTCATCATGTGTTATAAGATCAGTTGTCATAAACTGTTTATAGGTTCTACACATGCATGAGTGTTAACATGTATTTGTATCCTTTCTATATTAGAGGGAGAAACAAAACAAAGCAAGATCAAAACAAAACTTATTCCTATAAACATATGAAATGAAAAAGACATATAAAACCACTGTACAGGGAGTTCTACCATGGTTACTATGTTGTCTCTTGTTATCTTCAATAGAATTGTCTATATCATCAGACATAGTATATTAGAATATAGCAGTACATAACAGTATTAATAAAAACACAACTTTATAGATAGTGTAAAACTTCAAAAACAGGTAGTAATCAAAACAGAATGGATATCATAGTGAATCTTGTCATCTTCAATGTAGTTGCCTTACTTTCAGACTTGATACAATCAATAACAATTTTGAATAAAATCTGTTGAAACCAAACAGCAAAGAAACAAGATTTAACTAAGGTTAGTCATGATAAAACAGTATAAATTATATATGGCTCCATATTGTTAATAGGAAATTAAAGATGATTACTGTACTATATCTTGTTATTTTGAGGATAGCTATCTGTGCCCTCAGATCTAGTGCAAGTAAACAAACTGGGACAGAATAAAATCTATCTAAGAAGATGCAAATAATATGGGTTTTAAGTGCTGATACACTATTAACAATGTCTTCTGCTTTCCTTTTTAAGACTGTTCCTCCCCTTTCACTTCCCCAGGGTGCACTGTGCATTTTTGGGTCTCACCAACACCCTCAGTTTTTAGATTATGGGGGCAACTTGCTATTTACATAAGTGGTTCTGAATCTTCTCCCTCCTGGAGTTGATCTCTAGTTATATTCCTTTACCTATCAAAGCCTGTCTTTCCAATCTACCCACAAATACTGATCTAGTTTCCCCTATTATTCTCTGGTTCCCTGTCACATAGAGCATTGTTTTCTCATATTTGATTTTCAGACCATAAACATTTTTTCAGGTTAATTATATTTCCTGTACAGAGCATCTTGGTGGTCCCTACCTCCTGGTCTATTCTGCCTGTGTTTCTACTTTTTTCTTTTTCTTTTTTTTTAGTGTATCAAGGCCATCTATGTTTGAGACTGTAGCCAGCAATCTCTGCCTCTATGTTTTCTTTATATTCTTCATCAAACGTTTCTCTCCTTTTTTTGTGCTCTTCCATTCTTTCATCTGTGTCTTCTTGAGAGGTGCTTAGCATTTCTTTCATTAATCTACTTATATCTTTATTTGGTTAAATATTTCACTTTTGAACTCATCTATGAGGTCCCCTCTTTATGTCCACTGATGCTGTGTCAGATATTGCATGTTCACTATCCTCAATCCCTTTTGTATTGACCTCTCCTAGATCAGTGTTCTCAGGGTTGGGGGCTGGGTTCCTTTTCTTGTTGCCTCCTCTTCTCATATTTTTTGTTTTTCCATACAGGCATATAGAGGAGGTCCCAGTCCCTTTCTTTGTTGGTTACAGTTCTTCTGAAGCATGCTGGCTAGGTGATCCTGCCCACTCCAGTGTGTTATTGAGTTGCAAACAGGGGCAGCATATGCTGGCTCCTCCCCTCTGGGTCAGTCAATCTGCTGAGGCCTTCACTGCATTAGTGTGTCTATCTGCCATTTTGACTTTATTTAAATTATGGATATGAAAGCTACAAATAAGTATTGTCTAGTTTGTGGAGATTTTAAATTCATTGCTCATGGTGTTTTTTTTTTTTTTACCATGTGAAATGTTTTAAAATTATTTTTTGTTTTCAAATTTACTAATTTTTCACATACTGCATCTGAGTTTTAAGTCTCTATTTGGGAATTTTTTCCTCACTCCCAGTATGTTAATCAGCATTCTATCACTACAACAAACACTTGAAGTAAATCAACACATAAAAAGAAAAATTGCACTTTGGCTCACATCTTTGGAGTTTTCAATCTATAACTGAATGGCCTCCTTGCTCAGATCCTGTGGTGACATAGCATATAATGGCTGAAGCACAGGGCAGAATGAAACCACTTACCTTGTGGTCAACATGCTAAATAGGGAAAAGACTTGCATCCCACAATCCACTTTCAGAGCATGCTCCCAGTGATCCACAGACTGCCTGCTAGACCTGATCTTTTAGAGTTTGTATCAATTGCAATACTGTCATGGACTGGAGATGAAGCTTTTAACACATGGACCCTTAAGGGCAGTCCAGACTCAAACTATTGCATCTGGCTAAAAGAAGATTTAGATTTCCATTAGTATGCTGTGGTTTCACATTTTACATATAAAATATAATGTAATTAAAATGTAATTGCATTTAAAATGTAATTGAATTCCTCCATGGTTTGTGAGGAATTTATCATGGTCATAATTTGAAGAATAGATCTCATTTACTGCCTGTGATAGGTCAGCTTTAAGAATTTTGCTAATTTTAACGTTTACTTTTCCCATTGATCTAAAGCACCACCTTTGCCATATGATTTTCTATATGAAATTAAGTACATAATATTTATGTTTTTGTTCTATTTCTATGCCATATCATTTCACTTATGAAGTATTAATATTTAGTATGTCTATGTTCACGAATTTTTCTTTTCTCCAGACCATTCTGTTTGTTTGTTTTTTTTTTTTTCTAGACATTCCTTTTTCATTTTGTGTTATTTTTGTTTTTGTATTTTGGTGATGAGGATCAAACTCAGGGCCTCTTGCTTGCCAGGAGGCACAGTGTCACTGGGACTCAGACATATTCTCAGCATGCTTGGTGCAAAATTTGTAATTAGAACATCTTGCTAACATCTTCAAACTCTGTCATTCTTTATTGTTTCAATGAGTTAATACGTACTTTTAGGAAGACTTGTAATCTTTATGACATTGTGTCTATTGGTACAAGAAAATAGTATACAATTAATTTATTTGTCTTCTTTTGTGATTTTTCAGTTTTTATAGATCAGAGACCTCTCAAATAGATTTTGGCCATTTTGTGCTATTTATACTTTTTTTGTATTCTTTGATATATTCTCTTCCATTATTTCTTCTTAATTATTCTGTGTTTACATATGTTATGTTTTTTAACAAAAAATCAGAAATTTAAATTTTTTATTTAATTCTATTTAAAATTGTATTTAAAAATTTTTCTACTGCCCATGATTTTTACTTTCTTTTTAGTGATCCAATCACATAATCATATTTTTGCAAGTAAAGAGATGCATTTTATCTCATTTTTCCTATTCCTGTATTTCTGGTCTTTTCTTGCCTGTTTACATTGGCTAAAAATTCCAAAGCAATATTAAAAAGTAGTAAACAGAATAAATATTATGGTCTTGATTGTTATTTTATCAGGAAAACCACTACTATTCCCTTCATTATAAAAAACTTTGGGGCTATGATATACACTTTACCATATCAAAGAAATTAACACCTTTTTTTCCTTAAATGACACTTCTACATCTATAGCAATAATCATGATTCTTTTCATTTTTTGAGCTTAATTTATATGGGACTAATGGATTTCTTAACTGCTATTTATTGTGACATATGACTTTTAGAGATGAACTTTGCCTTTGTGCTTTCAGGATAAAATCACTTTTTGGTGTTAAAGACTGTTTTACAGACCCACTTATTTTGCCTTTCTTCGTTAATATTCATACTTAACTGAGTTGAGATCTGTTCAGGTCTAGTGTTATGAACAGACATTAAAAACTGGAAGCCCTTAACCATTACTTAAGGACATGGACACTTGACATCTGGGACATTCACTGGCTTATCTCAAATCTAAACTTAGAAATGTAATAATAAATGTGTCCCTAATCCAATTCATGGTGTGTAGCAAGCATTTATGCTTTGTGGTTCTGCTGAAGTTTGTTAAAATACTCTCCTTTTCTGTTTCTCTTTCTATGTAAATAATTAAATGCACATCCCAGGATGTAAGAAATTAATGTCCATCTTCCTTCCAATGTTATGTATTAGAAATTGCTGTATAACATCAATACAGAAAGAAATGATTTGTTTGGGTTATAGCAGAAAATGCAATTCTGGAATAATAGTATGAGACCTTTAATGCATCAGCAAATATTTTCTGTGTAGTATAAGGTGAATGGCTTCATTAGAATATCCTATTTCTTTCTGAGCTAGAGAAAGACAGAAAATTGGTGAAACTTCTTGTGTGAAAGAGTCAACATACATAGACCAGGGAAGTGTTTCTCAGTTTAATCAAATTCCAGAGACTCTCCTCAAATGCTACCCAGTGGTACACTCTTATCACTCACTTCTAAAGTTGTTATATTACAATTTTAAAAGGAAAATCTGGAGACAACAATATCACACTATACTGTGTTACCTCAGAATTTTCAATAATTGCTTGTAATAAAATCCATGTGCTGTCATATTTTCTTTTTTTATTTAACTTTCTGCTACTTACCATCACTACACACAAATTTCCTACCTGCTTTGTCTTTAAGTTTAAATAAGGAAACAGAAATTAGGAGTATATAAATGATTTATAAATGAGACATATTCATAGAGTTGAAGTTTTGGTTCTTAGTGATGCACAGCAACCTTTGGTAAATAATAAATGCTATGGTCCACATAAAAACCAGCCCCTTTGCACAAAATTCTTTGCCCTCAACTGACTGAGATAGGACAAGCAACAAGGAAGTAGACACTTACGGACTTTTTAAAAAGTTGACAATCAGATCTCTTTTAAGAAACAAACATGTCCTTGTTTTATGCTGCAAAGAACAATTTAAAGACATTTCCTCCAAGGAACACTTTTCTTCTTCTCACACTTCTGTACTTAGTAACAAGGCCACATGGCTTAGATCTCAAAAGCAAAACTGAATAAGGCTCTCAGTAAAGAATGTTACTATGCTGGTTTTGGACTCAAATGAGGCATTTATCCAATTTTTAAGTAAAATTCTAAAACATGGCGTTATTACTTCCTCAGTTAAACAATTAAAATGAGTAAACTTAATTCTATTATTTATTTCTCAAACTCTAGAGTCAGATCTATGTAACAGTGATAATAGTATGGTCTGCCTCAAAAAGTTACTGTGGAAGCTAAATAAGTGATGTACTGAAATAAAAGCAAGATAAATTATTAAAATAATTAGTAAAAAATGCTAACTCAATACATTGTTATCATAAAACTACAAAATTATTTTATATAATTCAGTGAATTAAAAAGTAATACAAAACAATAAAAATATAATTTCTTTTATTAATAATTATCAATTTTCAAAACCATCCTATTTTTTTCTGAATTCTAAAAAAATCAAGCATAACATTTAACCCAGAACAAAAATTTCTATTGCCCTTATTAGCACTATATGATCATAATTTTATATGTGGTTCTTTAGACAATACATTATAGAAATTAACAATAACATCTAATTAATTCTGCATATAACCAGGCCTATGACTTGCATATGGACAACTCACTCAGCCTCTTCCTGAGGTAGATACTTTGTCCATATAATCACATCACTGGAAGAAACTAGTCTATCTCCTGGGTGTGTTTATTTGACTCCTACTCATGATTCAGTGGAGCTTTGCAATTTGTGGAACTGGTGTACCTAACATGCCTAGCTGATTGCATATTCACCCAATATTGATTGAGAACTCTTGATAATTTAGAAATGCCATAATTGCCTGGGAAAAAACAATAGTACATGGACTCTCTTCAAAGATCTCAAAGTTTGGCAGAAGAAACATTGTTAAAAAAATCAAAACAATGTGACAGTACTTTGGGTAGTATGGGATAAGATTTGGTAACCTCACTTTTAAGGAAGATTTAATTTTTTAAAAAAATTTTATGGACTACTAAAACAAAATTTCATAGCAGAATAACTGAATAAAAAGTTATAATACATTGTGTATTATTATCTTCAAAGGAGCTACTCAGAGTACAAGATAGGACATTAAAAAAAAATTCTCCAAATGGTATTAGCACAAACTTCTTTTCACTAAACTAAGAAAAACTAGTAATATAATTATCTTATGTTTATGTTCCTTTACTTCCTTTCTCTTTTTCCTAATCCTAGCTCCTTTTTCCTTTTGAATGATTTTTGCCATTTCCCAATATCTATGGTGTATTTTGGATCTTATTTACTCTTTCAGTTGCTCACAACAGGGAGACAATATGATGTTTACACATGTGGGTCTGACTTGTTTCACTTGAGTATGTCCTCAAGTTACAGTCATTTACCTATAAAAGCCTCAAGGTAATCTTCACTGAGTCAGGGAGGTCACAGCTAACAAAAACAGCAAGCAGGAGTTAAACATGGAAGGTGGTATCTCTTACCTCCTCCCTGTTGCAGTGTCTGCCCCTGGAACACAATTTTGACTCAGATTCTTGGTCTATCAATTGTGAATTGAGTGATTTGAAGTAGATTATTTAATTTCTTGATTTTTTTCCTGAAAAATAAATGTTATAAGTTTTTAAATAGCATAATGGCAGGTACAAAATGTGGTCAGACTTTATAGGCACTGATATATAACAAGTCCTGGTTCAAAGCATCATTAGTGTTGATTTGCTTTTGTCCCTGGCCTTTTCTGATGCTTCCTATCAAGCTGCAACTTTCTGTGTATGTCTTCATACCTCAGGCATGTCAGAGCAATTAACATTACAATCATTCAGTGAAAGCTGTTATCAGAAGGTTCTGATCAGAGCTAAAAAGAACACACTGTACACCTTATCTGATTAATGGGCTGGTAATAAGGAACATTAGGTTGAATAAAAAAAGTTTATTTATCCAAACTACCCTTATAAAATTAAAAGCAAATTGTTTTGCTGATTAGAACATAAAAGTTGGTCTTAACTTTGAAGCTGAATTTGCTTAAATTACAGAAGAAATTCATGTTCACTGGAGACAATGTGACAATGTCACAGAATGTTAAATGTCTATGGCATGAGAAACTCAAGGTAAAACTAATTTAAAGAGCAAAATAAAAGATAGGTTACAGGAAACAGAGAGACAGACATTGTAGAGATAGTACAGGGAATCTGAAGATGGGAGGACACATGAGAGATGGGAGGGGAAAGGAAAGTAAAAAAGGATCAAGTTATAACATGTGTATTACCAATTCCCCATGATGCACATATGTATCATGTATCACATACAATAAAATTTTAAAAGAATGTATAGATAATTAACAATTCAATAAAATCCATAATCAGCTATAATCCCACCATCTTTGGATATGAATGTTTTCAGTCTTCTGTACATGGATGTTCTGATAAAAATACATCTACCATTCTGCCCATATCTTTATTAAATCCACATATAATCCCACTGAAACTTCTCTTAGGAAGAGACAGTTTGTCATCTGATTGGTCAGAGATCAGAATCGCTTCTGGACCACCTTCAACCAGTAGGTCAAGATATTAGGCCTTGAAGCAAAGCCTCTAAGCTCTCCCCTTTCACCCACTTCTTTCTATAACCCTGATATAAGAAAACCAATGACTACAAAATTGTGTGTATCCCATCAATTCTGCATCTACAACTAAGTAAGTTAGGTCAGGAAAGTTTGACAGGCCTAGCCATCCTAGACTCAAAAGGCCTCACTTGAAGATCTCTAGATTGAACCATGTTCTTTATTTTATAGGGACTCAGAAGTAGACCTTTATCTAGATATTAGTAAATATATCACCTTCTATTATTCTTTGAGCATCACTTGCTTGGTTAACCACACCATGGAAAAGACACATTATCAGCATAGAAGCATTATGTAATCCTTGAATCTCTAACCATCAGGCATTATAGAAATATCAAATGCCCACCTCTAACCTCTAGAAATATACATAAATGAACCCACTTATCTTCATAAAAATGAGATTGTACTACACATGTCATCTTATTGACTTCTTATGTTAACTCAATCATTTCTTTATTCATAAATATATACTTAAATTTGTATCTACTTTCCCATTTTTAATTCCTTTTCTTATTTCAATGATTTTCTTGGATGAATACCACTACAATTTATTGAAAAAATCTTCCATCACTGGAAATATGAATTATTTCCAAGATTTTACTGTTAAAAGCAATGCCTTTATGCATTTATAGTTATGACTGTGCCCAACTATATTCAATAAATATATCCTTTTCTTCACTTTGGCAAATTTCATAGTATCTTGCCATCTTTTCTGCAAGTCTTACATTTCCCAGACTTGTATCTCGGCACCTAGAAGAAGCTGAGAAATACGGTACCTCATATGAGATGGCATGCAAACAGACTGAGTGAGTTGAAGGTCCAAATTGGATTACTCAGTCTCTCAGGTAACTACTCTTGAATTTTTAATGGCTCCTCTGGAGCAGAACAAACTGTAGAGCTGAATTTAGCTGTGAGTCAGACTTCAAAATCTGAAGGATAATCAGCAAGCCAAGATTGTTGAAGCTGATTTAACACATCTGAAGCTCCTATCAGCCAGCTACTGGAATATTTGAGGGATAATAATGGCTGGACCTCAGAGTTGCACTGGGCCCAGCAAGGAGAATTTAGACTTAGAGGATATTTTAGAAAGTACTTCAGGGTGTGTCTAGAGCTACAGATCAAATGAATTCTTTTCAAATATGTAAGTGAATAAAGAGAAAATTCTAGGTACTAAATTTCCCTTGAGCACCACCATGGAACCAGAACTTCTCAAGTCAAACAAACCTTGTCACTGATGTGTTTGAAATAAAAAGTCAACTTTATAAGTAATAATAATTATGATAATAATCATCATCCTTTAAAATAATGATCTTTTTTAAAGCTCATGTATGAGAGAAAAATATTAAGAACAAGGCTGGTGACCTCAGCAAAGCAAATTGTGGATTATGTTAAATATAATACTGGCAGTTAAATATAATTTCCAAGGATTTGTACCACTGTGCATCTTCTCCAGCAGCCCTGAGAACAAGAAAAGCCCTACAGGCACTTTTGTTTCAGCCTGAGCATTATCATTTACTCCCTCTTTTCAATCTTTTCATTGTAGTAAATAACTTTTCTTTATGTAAAAGAACTGTCAATCACATGACAGTCCTGCTCCCCTACCACAACCAAAGGTATGATATGGGCTGGCCAATTCAAGTACCTCATGTTCCTGAGACAGTAATTGGCCAAACAACAGCTTCCTGACCCAAGTTTAGCTGATGGAAATCATTTATTGTATAAGGTAGATACCAGAGAAAGAATTTCTCTTCTTGAACAATTATAAGCCTGTGGACTATGTAAAGCATAGAGCTACCAGATAGCATCTTTATTCATAGGAAAATGTCTCCCCTAAACACTCAAGTTCTCTGTTTTAATTATTGCACTTTGAGATGAATTTCTATCTCTCACAATTCAAAACAAACATTTGGAAAACAATCTGGAATCATTTAATTTCTGTAAGAGATCATTTAATGCTAAAGAAAAGACAAATGTTGGAATAGCAAAATTTGTCATTATTCATTTGTAAGTTGGATATGTCACAGAAATTTGATTCTAATTTCATTTGTGCATTCTTGAATTATTTCTGTTGAAGAACACAATTGACCACATTCACATTTCTTCTTGGAGCCAGCACTGACCAAAGAGAATAATGGCATACTTCCTAAATTACTCACACATTCAGTCTTTCAAATTACTACATGATTACTTTTTCCATTTTCGTCAAACGCTTTAAACATGACCTTTTCAGAAATACCACCTTGACAGAAGCAGGAATCACAAATAATGTTGCTCTTATAATGAGACATTTTGGGTTTTTTAAAAAATTTTGTTTAAAGAAAGACTAAACAAAACAGAAAATAGGTAGAAATAATACATACATTCAGAGAAAAAATAAACAGTAAGAAATCACTAGTTGATGTTTACATATTCTCGCTTTACAAATAGTTGTTCAAGATACAAAAACAGAACATGTAAGGTGGGAATTCAGACAGCAAGAGTGCAAAAAGTTCTGTTCAACTGTCCAACAAAAACTTAGTAACATGGTTGTCAATCCTATACACTTAAACATACATGCAGTTATCTATATCTTCATTTATGTTTAGATTAAGCAAACTAAAGCAGGTTAAAATCATTCTGAACAAAGAATAATAGTATTTCTGGTTGTCACATCGTGACACTCCATGATCAGCACTGAGTACGGTAGTGTCTTTTTTAAAAAATTTAATTTAAAGAAAGACTAAACAAAACAGAAAACAGGTATAAATAATATATAATTTAAAATAAAAAATAAACAGCAAGAAATCACTAGTTAATGATTACAGTTGTCTTCTTACAAACAGTTATTCAAGATACTAAAGTGGAGCTTATAAAGTGGGGATTCAAGCAGTGAGATTGCAACCAGTTCTGTTCAACTATCCAACGAAAACTTAGAAATATGGTTATCAATCCTATACATTTAAACATACATGCAGTTATCCATATCTTCAATTATGTTGAGATTGAATAAACCCAAGCAAAGAATAATACTATTGCTGAACAAAGAATAATACTATTGCTGGGTTTCACATTATGTCACTTGAGGATCAGCATTGGGTATTTTAGTGTCTCTTTTTCTTCAAAGTATCTGTTAATTTCACCATGTGTCATATGATCAGTTCTCATAAACTGTTTATAGATTCTACACATGCATGAGTCTTAACATGTATTTATATCCTTTCTATATTAGAGGGAGAAACAAAACAAAGCAAGGCAAAACAAAATATATTCCTATAAACACAAGAAATGAAAAAAACATATAAGACCATTGTACAAATTGTTCTACCATATTCCTGTGTTGTCTCGTTATCTCCAATATAATTGGAGATTACATTGGAAATTATATATTATCTCCAATATAATTGGCTATATCTGATGATATAGTATCAGACATTGTATAATTGAATATATCAGTACATAACATTAATAAAAACACAACTTTGTATATAGTATAGAACTTCAAACACCAGCAGTTATCAAACCAGAATGTGTATCATTGAGTCTTCTCATGCTCAGTGTAGTTGCCTATACTATCTGACTTGATATTATCAATCATATCAGTTTTGAATAAAATCTTCTCTGCCTCATTTCTGTTATGCTCTTTTTTGCCATCAGTTGTCTGCTTATCTTCTTCATTCTGTTTTCTGCTACATTCATTGAGACCTCTCTGCCACTGTTCCTGGAATCCTAGTACTTTTCTGTCTCTCTAGAATGCCCTGGAGTATTCTCTGTAGAGTTGGATTGGTGGTTGCAAATTTCCCAAGTTCCTCTTTCTCTTGGAAGCATCTTATTTCCCCATTAATTTCTAGAGACAGTTTAGCAGGGTATGTCAATCTGGGATGGAGGTTATTTTCTTTCAGGGCTTGGAATATTTTACTCCAGGCTCTTATTGACTTGATGGTTTGTGTCAAGAAGTCTGCCATTATTCTGATGGGCCTTCCTCTGTAGGTTAGCTGTTTCTT